AAGATTTCGTTTCTACCAGAGAAACCAACATGAAGGAGAAGGCATTTTTGTCTTACTTACCGAGCTAAGGAAGCTTGTAACACACTTTAATTTTGGCGGGAATCTGTACGAAGCGCTACGAGAGAGACTGGCCTGTGGACTCCAAAATATGCAGATTCAAAAGCGATTATTGTCAGAAGCCAAACTTAAGTATTCCAAAGCTGTGGAGATTGCTGTAGCAATGGAAACTGCCATGCGCGATACTTCAGAATACAGTGAGCTCAATTCCAACCAAGTCCCTCGCGTTGACATGTTGACTGAACACAACAAACCAACACAAGCGAAACCGGCGACCACCCTCATTGTACCGCTGTGGTGGAAACACACATATGACAGATGCACAGTTGTTTTTACAAGAACTAGATTTGCCACCACTGTGAAAAACAGGGCCATGTTCAGCGGGTTTGTTGTTCCAAACAGCAAGGCAAGCCGAAGCAAGTAACCAAAACCCCCCACGGTACATGCTTTTGAGGTTGATGTTGATGCTTATAATTATAAAGGCATGTTAGCCACCTTCGAAGTACACGATGTGACGAAATAGAGCAATAATATTATCTGGGTTTATTTGGATGTTAATGGTAAACCGCTTAAGATGGAACTGGACACGGGTTTGGCTGTGTTGATCATCTCTTTTGACCTCTACCAGCAGAAATTTAACACGCTTCCCCTGCATGAAACTGGACTGTCCTTGAAAACCTACACTAGGGAAACCATTATGCCAGTAGGAGTGCTCAAAGTACCCGTGGATTACCAAACCCAAAGAGAGTTGCTGGACCTGTATGTCGTCAAGAATAAGTGTCCTGCTCTTTTGGGAAGAGATTGGCTGCGCACGATACGCTTAGATTGGTGTTCTATCAAGTTGCTGTAGGCTTTACGAGATACCTCAAGTCCTAAATAGTGTTTGGACTTTATGCTAGACAAGCGCTCAAATTTTTTTGAAACTAAACTGGGCACCTTTACATCAGCATAAAGCGAAGTTAACTCTTAAGCACGCTTCCTCATGGCCAGACCGATGCCGTTTGCATTAAAGCTAAAGGTAGGGGTAGAACTGCGAAGACTCCAGAATGAAGGTAGTCTCACTAAAGTGGAGTGGAGTGAATGGGCCACACTGATTGTGCCTGTCCTCAAGAAAGATGGTTCCGTCAGACTTTGTGGTGATTACAAGGTCACAGTGAATCCAGAACTACAAGCAGAGCAGTACCCTCTTCCTTGCATGGAAGACATCTTTGAAAACCTTGCTGTTGGGCAGAAATTCTTAAAGATTGACCTCCGCCAAGCGTACCATCAATTAGAGATGGAAGAAGATTCAAAGAAATACCTCATTATCAACACCTTGGCAGCGCCCCATTGATCAAGTGTTAGAAGGAACGTCCAGAATAAGCTGTATCCTTGATGTTATGATCATCACTGGAGAGAATGATGAAGAGCATCTTGGAAACCCAAAAGAAGTTTTACGTAGCTTGCAGACTCATGGGTTAAGAGCAAACAAGACAAAATGTGAGTTTTTCAACGAGAAGATAACCTTCTGTGGACATGATATCGCCAGTCATGGTCTCCACAAGACACTAGAAAAGGTGGAGGTAGTTTTTCAAAGCGCCTCGCCCATGCAATGTAGCTGAAGTGAGGTCGTTCCTGGGGCTAGTCAATTACTACAACAGATTCTTGCCCAACCTGTCAACAGTGGTACATCCTTTAAACCAGTTGTTAGAGAACAACCATGAATAGAAATGGACGGAACAATGCGAAACAGCATTCCACTCCCCAGAGCAGGTATTAACACATTTATGACCCCAGTCTGCCACTAAGGCTTGCTTATGATGCATCCCCTGTGGAAATTGGTGCTGTGCTCTCCCACGTTATGAATGATGGGACTAAGCGACCCATTGCTTTTGCTTCCGGGACACTCGCAAAAACTGAACAAAGATACGCGCAAATTGACAGAGAAGCTTTGGCAATAATCTGAGGGGTTAAGAAGTTCCATGTGTATTTTTTGACCGATCTTTCACCCTTTACACCGATCATCAGCCGCTAACATTCCTCTTCCATTCGCACAAGAGCATTTTAGTGGTTACAGCATCCAGGCTTCAGCGCTATGCATTGTTCCTGGCTGGCTATGACTACCAAATCGAGTACAAGAACATTACAGGGCATGGCAATGCAAATGGCCTTTCCCGGCTACCATTTAAAACTGAAGAGAGAGCAAAAGAAGTTGTGGATCCAGTGAATGGTTTCAATATGATACAACTTGAGCCGTTACCAATCACAGTTGACAACGTCTGAAGAGAAACCCAAAGAGACCCTATCTTGAGTCAAGTCCATGAGATGGTGACTAAAGGATGGCTAAGCAGCCATGTTCCTGTACTCGACCCCTTCTACGCTTGCAAGAATGAGATAACAGTACACTCAGGCTGTTGGATGTGGGGAGTCAGAGTCATAGTACCCTCAAAACGTCGTCCACAAGTGTATGAAGAACTCCATAAAGGACATCTTGGAGTGGTGAAGATGAAGGAATCGACAAGGAAATTGAGGAAACCGCGAAGACCTGCTCGGGTTGCCAGCCAATGCAAGCTGAACCTATTACCGCACCTGTAAATACATGGAAATGGTCATCACCACCCTGACAGCGAATCCATACTGATTTTGCCGGACCTTTCCTCGGCTGCATGTTTTCAGTTGATTGTCGTGGATGCCCATTCTAGATGGTTGGAAATGGAAAAAAT